GTGTCCAATTGTACCGTGGTCAAACGGAATACGCCCACAGAATTCACATATCACAATACTTTAATGCACTTTCATGCACTTCCATGCACTTTAATGGCACTCAGCGACTTGTTGGCAAGGGGAGAAGAGAGGAAGAGAGGGGAATCGACTGTGCTGCCGCCTAGCCTAGGGCACCTTCAAAATGAACTACTAAAACTTCCGGAGCCAAAAAATACGGCGAGTTTGAACCCCCTGCTGGCAGCACTGGTCTTTTGAGATCACTTGTTTGAAGCCCCTGGCTGTCGACGAGAAAATGCAAGCGTTTCTGAAGACTGGAAAATTATGTGCTTCAGATCTTAAAAAATCATCGACCTCACGCGTCAAAGATGACAAGAAGAATCTCACACCATGGGTTGAAAAATAGTGAGCATTTTTCTGTCTCTTCGTCTATTGATTCACTGATGTATAAATTCTTTTGCATAAAAAATTTTTTTAGTCTACGAGCCATAAATGCATCAAATCAAACCTTTTATAAAAGAAAATACAAACATGAGTTCATTAAACAATTTTGTCTAAACAGCCGAATTTATCTTTTTATTTTTTCTTAAAATTATAGCACATCTAGATATTTTTTTCTTTATTTTACATAAAACAAAAAAAAAATTGGATCGTATAAATGATTAAACAATTAAATTTTGCATATTTTCTATCTTTATAGTAGACCGAAAAATGTTGACGATATTGTGGAACAAACAGAAGTGGTACATGTTGTTAGGCAAGTTATGGAACGTGGAGACTTTCCCAACATGTTATTTTATGGACCACCAGGTACTGGTAAAACCAGCATTATTCACGCAGCTGCAAGACAAATGTTTGGTAGCATATATAGAGACAGAATATTAGAACTGAATGCCTCTGATGACAGAGGTATCCAAGTTGTGAGAGAAAAAATCAAGTCCTTTGCACTAAGAAGGGCTAATCCTACTGGGCCAGAGTGAGTTGAAAGAGTTTTTATTTAACAATGTAGCAATATAGTATTCAAAAACATTTTTATTCTAAGTTGCCAAAATGTTAAAATTACTCGTGATTAGTGCCAGTGATGAATTAGTAAAAGGTATGAAGCTGCAGCATCAATATACAAGATTATAGGGACTATATATCGTTGTTGTCAAGGAGATCTATTACAGTATCTTAGTATCTCTTATTAGCAACGAAACAGAGAAAAATGCTCAAAATTACTTAGAAAAAATTGCAAGTAAAGTTTTCTTTTAAAATGTCTTATAAAAGATAAATATGAGCAGACATTTTAGATTTCATTTTTCAACTGTTTAAATCAAATCACAGAATTTTAAATTTTATAATTTTGCAAAATTAGCAGCAATCTATTTCATAAATATTTTGTTTTTTTATTTTTCATAAAATCAACTTTTTAATCTGCTTTATAAAGATAATACAAAAATTCTGTTTAAGTTAATTTGTTGATTTGATACAAATATTTGAGGATTGATCATTACTCTGAATATCTTGTGCCTTGAGCTGTAGTTTATGATCAAAGAACAGATATCTGAGGCACAATACTACAGTTTTTTTTCTTCCAAAATTTGAAAATTTTTTAAAAATCTGAATATGTTTCTAGTCTTTTCTTTATTTTTTATGTATACATATATAATTTTAGTATATTTGTATATTATGTATATTTGTAATTGCTTTCAGCGGAAAAAAATATCCACCCTTTAAAATCGTTATTCTGGATGAAGCGGATAGCATGACCGATGCTGCTCAGACGGCACTTCGTCGAATCATCGAAAAAGAGGCTCTTAGTACACGTTTCTGTCTGGTGTGTAATTACTTGTCCCGGATTATCAAACCAATTGCATCACGCTGCACCAAGTTTCGATTTAAGCCGCTTAGCAATGAAAAGAGCATCTCCAGGCTAGAGTACATATGTAACGAGGAGAACCTAAAAGCTGATAGAAACGTTTTAGAGAAAATTGTCAAAGCGTCAAGCGGTGATTTAAGACAAGCTGTTATGTGTCTTCAGTCTATCACCCGATTAAAGGGTAAGGATCACGAGATCATGGTCGACGACGCCCTCGATGTAATTGGAGTAAATATCTTTTTAACAAGAATTTAAGAATTTTAAGAAAATAAAAAAACATTTTATAATAAAGAGATGAATAATTAAAAACTGCATTTTAGCTGGTCCCTGATGAAAATATTGATGCATTGTGGGAGACTTGTAAAAAGGGGAGTTACAATACTATTCAGAAGCTACTTGAAGACTTATTATTAGAAGGATATCCAGGTTTGCAGGTAATGTTATGTTACTTCATATTTATTTCTCTTTGTCATTGAATTTTTATGTTGTAAAATAATATTTAATATTCAACTTTTTAAATATGCTATGTTATGTATTTTAGATAATCGACCAATTAAATGAGAAGATCATTTTCTCCGATGAACTTACTGATAAACAAAAAATGTTGATTGGCGACGTGCTTGGCGTAAGAAATCATTTTTGCTTACATTTCAAAAGTTAATAATAGATTAGAACAGATTTCTCTTTTTAGTTATATACAGGATATTTCATTTTAATTTATCTCTTAAAAGTTTATTTTTGATTGTAGAAAAAATTAGTTTCAGACAAGATCCGCTTGGTTTGAAGGCACATGATTCTGATATTAGTAATGTCATAGATGTCGTTTTCAAGAAATTGTAAAGGCTATTACTTTCTTAAGTGGAACTTACTTATTTAATTAAGGCCTGTTCTACCAGAGAGAAGCCTGAGAGCGGCCATGCCATTGTAGTTTCTTACGACGGTTTCAACCGCTGGTTTTAGCCGTATTTCTACAAAAGTGGAACTCAAAGGCCGTTCTACATTAAACGCGAGTAGCAGATCTCGTGGAATTGACCAATTGCAGAGTC